TTTTTAAGATTTATTTATATTTTTGTGTGTAAGTTTTGCCTGCATTCATAATGTCCATGGGGGTCAGAAAGGGGTGTCAGATGTCCTGGAACTGGAGTTACAGGTGATTATAAGCCACCTTGTGGGTGCTGGGAACCAAACCTGGGTCCACTAGAAAAGCAACAAGTGCTCACTGAGCCATCTCCCCAGCTCTGGGGATAACTTTTAAATTTCATTTATTTACTATTTTATGTGTGTGTGTTGTCTACATGTATGTCTGTGTACCATGTGTGAGTCTCAAGCTTTTGGAGACCAGAAAAGGGTGTTGGCTCCTGTGGAATTACAGTTACAAGCAGTTATGAGCCACCATGTGGGTGCTAGAACTAAACACAGGTCCTCTTCAAGAACAGCCAGTGCTCTTCACTGCTGAGCCATTTCCAGCCCCTTTAGGATAACTTTTAATTTTGAGAGTGTGATATTGAGGCATTTCTGCTAGAAATTTCATGTTGCTCTGATCTTCAAAGGGAAATGTTTCCAGGAGTCACTCAGCTGCACCTCTGCGAGTCCGTACTACACAAGATCAGGGACCCAGCCTCCAACAGTAGGTTTTACCAGGGCCTAACAGATCCAAGAGAAAGCCTTGTTTGATGAAGGAGCTTCTAGAGTTTGATTTATAGACAAGAAATATAAAAACTGCCCACGTGGCATTCATTCATTTAGCAGGTGTGCCTCTGAGTGCCTGCATATACTTTATGCTGCTCTAGAAAGTAAGCACAACACCGGTCTCAGCAGCTGGCTTTGTGGGTTGTGTGTAAGTAAGTGAACAGCAAGCAAGGAAAGCAGGAGGATTGGATAATGTGAAGTCTGAACAAAGATTTCAAAGATTTGGAGGAGACGAAGATCAAGCTGTATCTACAGCATCCTAACCAGCAGAGCTAGCACAGGAAAGGCTCTGATGTTGATATGGATTTGGGCAATTTGGCCCACAGAGAGTGAGATAAGGAAAAGGGGCAAAAAGATCAGAATAAATTACTGCAAGGCCTTGGTGTCCTGGTTGTGATTGAGTGAGAGCGTGAAGTCTCCCAGTAAAGAAGCCTGCCATGCATATTGGCTTTGAGACGAGGTCTTGCTGTATGTATGACGCAGGTTGGTTCAGACTTGTAATTCACCAGCCCCTCCAAATGCTTGCATTGCAAGCAGGGGAGACTGCTCCCCACTTGAAGTTAGACATAAGGGGTGTGGTGTGGGGCCTCATTGTGATCTCAGCACTTGGCATGCCAAGGCATTAAAGTCAGAAGTTCAAGGCCACTCCAAGCTATAGTAAGTTAGTTCAAGGATAGCCTGAGATCCATAGTGAGTCCTGTCTTAGAAGACCCTTGGGCTGGGAATGTGGATCTATGGTAGTGTCCACCTCGCATGTGTGAGACCCTGGGTTTGATCCCAACACCTCTACCACCACCAAAAGAGAGAAAGAAGAAAAAGAAATAAGGTATTACAGAATTTATCTTCTTAAGTGCTGAAGTTAAAACACTCTTAGGTTAGCTGGGCCCATAGTCTCTCCTGACATCCCCAGCTCTAGCCCTAAACTCTGGTTTTAACACATACTAGCATCCCGTGTTTTGACATGCAGTCTCTTTTCTAAATTGATTCCTTCTAGGCTATCACTGTGAATATAAGATGAAGACAGGAAGGAAACCTGATGGCTGTGCCATTTGCTTCAAACATTCCAAATTTTCACTCCTGTCAGTGAACCCAGTAGAGTTCTGCCGCCGTGATATTCCTCTGTTGGACAGAGACAACATTGGATTAGTTTTACTCTTGCAACCCAAAATCCCACGTGCTGCCTCTCCCTCCCTCTGTGTAGCTAACACACATCTGCTGTACAACCCACGGCGAGGTGATATAAAGCTGACCCAGCTGGCAATGCTGCTAGCAGAGATTTCCAGTGTGGCCCATCGGAAAGACGGTAGCTTCTGTCCCATCATCATGTGTGGTGACTTTAATTCTGTTCCTGGTTCTCCACTCTATAGTTTCATAAAGGAAGGAAAATTGAACTATGAAGGACTTGCAATTGGAAAGGCAAGTGCTCGCTTCATCTGGTAGAAAGTGGATTTCAGCTGCTCTGCCAGAATGAGGGGAATGGTCCTTGTTGGAGTGAGGATGGTTATTGCATGGCTGTGTGGAATCTAATACCTCACTCTGCTAAGATGGCATGATTTCCTACAGTTACCAACACGTGGCTTTGTTCACTTGGTTTGATTTTGTCTTTTCCACTTATGGAAGCATTCTATTTGAAGGAATTAGCTGGTAGAAAGAAAAGTGTTGAGAGACAAGGATAACTTGAAAGCCCCTTTTCACGGGGCGTAGGAGGAGTTCTGAATGCTGGACATGGTCAATATAGTCACTTAATATTCATTGTATAAGTATTCCTTTATATGACAATGGCTTTTCTTCTGTAATGCTGAAATACTTTATTATTCTTCAGTGTAGAATTATTTTTTGGGGGGGCTTTGAATGATATTCTCATGCTTCCCTCTGCTTGTTTTAGACCATTTGATTTTCAGTGTTTAACCAAAATAAGTCTTCCACCAACAGAATTTTCAATGATAGTTTTACATTTGACACAATAGAAACTATATTATAGGTGGCAGAAAGAGGAAGACAGTATTAGTGGGAAGCTGTAGATATTTAGATGTTCAAATGAGGGAAACAAGCATGTGAAAAGCCTGTCATTTCCATGTAAATGACAGTGCTGTCTGAACTGTATTTGGATGGAAGTTTGTAATCACAAGCAATCATTTATATAAAAATGAAGAGCTTGCTTACCATTTGTGATTACTTTTATTAAGATATAAAATTTTCAATACATAAATTAGTTAAAGTCTATTCACTTAAGATGCCTGTTGAAATTCTGTGCAGGTATCTGGCCAGGAACAGTCTTCACGGGGACAGAGAATTTTATCTATTCCAATTTGGCCCCCAAACCTAGGCATCTCACAGAACTGTGTGTATGAGGCACAGCAGGTTCCCAGAGTAGAAAAGACAGGTGAGTGTTTGTAGTACATTTTGGCAGTCTTCTGGGTAATGGTCTTCCCTTTGAAGACATAATGCTAAAATTTCAAAGTTTCAGTATCTAGGCGTGAATGCTCATGTATATTAATATAAATAGCTATTTTCTCATCCTTCTTTTAATGTGCTCTAAATTTCCTTTTTAAGAGTTAAATTCCAATGTTATTTGTTCATGAATAACTTGTTGCCTTAGAGTTGTTTGCATTCTCCCCCTCCCCCATTCTGTAGAACATCAGAATATAGACCATAGGATCAAACATTTAACCAGACATTTAAACTAGACCTATCCTGAATCTGGCTCTAGAGACAGCTATGCTGTGGCAAACTAGAACAAAACAGTATGCACATTGGATTGATATGCTTCTCTCTGCTCTTTCAGATAGCGATCTGACACAAGCTCAGCTGGAGAAGACAGAGGTCCTAGTGTCAGCTGAAAAGTGAGTTCTGGAAGGGCAACAGTAGACAGTCCCTAACTGACTGAGTCACGCCCCCCCAAAAAAAATTACCTCAGAAAACACTTGGATCCAAAATAAAGTTGATATTATTCCAAGCTGCATAGGCCACTGGGTTAAGACAGATATGCGTGAATTCCAGGTCTAACTGCTGGGTTGTGAGGATTCAGGAAGCCAAAGCTTGGAAAACAATGTTTCATGCTTGGAGTGTTTAGGCAGTGTCTGGAAACAGCATGTGGGCCTGGACTGGCCCAGGAACTCTGAAATTTCCAGATCACAGGAAAGTATCTTCCTGATTTCAGTGGGATTCTTCCTTGACTCACTAACTAGATCCCACTTCTTTGCCAACAGAGGTCCAAGGGGTCCCGAATAGCCCTGCACACCATTGACCACTTAGAGCATCCTTAAAAACACAACCAAAAGTGCAAGCTGTCTAAGGATTGTATGCTCATTGTTTGAATGGAGTTTCTCAAACATGTATAAGTCTGAGGTCTAATTAGCATCTTGGTTCCCATTTGTTGTCATTTGCTGGGTGTTAGTAGCCATTCACCTACATCCACTGCATCAGGAAAGGAGACCTGACTTAGGGGATGGTCATCATAACACTCAGGAAGTTGAGGCAGAAGTGAAAGCCTCATGAAATGGAGGCCAGCCTGGGCTATAGAGTAAGATCAAGGCTAGCCTGAGCTACATAATGAAACCTCAAGTACAAAAATGCCAGGCATGATGGCTTACACATATTATACCAGTACTCAAGCAACTGAGAGAGAAGGAGTACCACAAATTTGAGGCCAGCCTAAGTGATAAAGTAAGTTCCACTCGAGCCTGGGCTATAATGTAAGACCTTGTCTGCAAAACAAAATCAAAAGACTAAACAATAATAAAAGGTATCCTGGGCTTAGTCTAGCAATGGAGGAAGAGTAGTTTAGATGAGATGTTTTGTACTGTGAAGATTTTGGTGAATACTGCCCTTCTCTCTCCGCTTTAGGGTGCCTTCACATCTCCGGCACCACTTCAGCTTGTCATCTGTTTATTCTCACTACCTTCCTGACACTGGACTTCCAGAGGTGACCACCTGCCACTCCCAAAGCGCCATAACTGTCGATTACATCTTCTACTCTGCAGAGAAGGAGGACGCCGCCCGCGGTCCAGGTGAGGGGCATGGGGAGCACGTCTGCTGGAACGCAGGCGCAGAGAGGACGTCGTCCTCAGCAGGGGGGAGGGCTCCGTGTGGACGGGAGACGGGGAGACCACTCGTGCACAGAGCTGCATCCTCAGTTGTCCTAACCGTCCACTCCCACTGTAAACACTGCCTCTAGCTGGAGATTTCTCCAGTCCTGCCGGGGCCTGCCGCCACTCAGACCCAAGTAAACACACAGTTTATATTACTTATAAACAGTATGGCCATGGCAGGCTTCTTGCTATCTAGTTCTTATATCTTAAATTAACCCATTTCTGTTTATCTGTAAGTTGCCACGTGGCTTGTGGCTTACCAGTACTTTACATCTTACTTTTCATGGTGGCAGCTGGCAATGTCTCCTGACTCAGCCTTCTACTTCCCAGAATTCTCCTCTCTGCTTGTCCTGCCTATATGATACTTCCTGCCTGGTTACTGGCCAATCAGCGTTTTATTTATCAATTAATCAGAGCAACGCATAGCATACAGAAAGAAATCCCCAGCACCTGCCTTCCTGTGGCAGCCACTGAGTAGATGGCAAAGTCTCCAGCTCTGGCATTCATTAGGTTAAAAGTCATGCTACCTTCACAGCAGGGCCAGGCTATGCTGCCCACAACAGACACTTGGTCATGCTGACCTGAGGGAGAAAGCTTGTGACTATTTTCAGAAATGGAAACAGGCAGTATATTTCTGTTACAGCTCAACAAGAAATCAGGTTGAATAAGCCAACCGAAGGATTTAAAACAGGAAGCATTGAGATATTGGAAATCTAAAAACACTTAGAAAATATCTGGCGTCCTAGACAAGGCAGACTCCCCACATCCTTTTCTGATGCTACTTGTCTCTCAGTTTGTTCCATCTGGGCATACCTTCTCAGTGACCTCATTCCTCTAACTAAACCACCTACCCAGTGTGCCCTGCTCTTGGTTCACACAGTACGGTCTGGAAGTTGCCATGCCTACAGAGTTCACTAGGTGGCAGGAGAGTGTCTGATCAGGGATCAGCAGCTCCAGTCTCTCAAGAGGATGTTACTTTTCATTTGAGTGGAGAATGACTGGGCTCAAATCACATCACCTTACTCTGTAGTCACCTTGGCGGCCCCTGCCAAGCTTGGCTCTATGCAGTTAGAGTGGTTTGGTGGATCATTCTTAAGTGGTTGTCAATCTCAAATTCCTAACCTTTTTTTTTTTTTTTTTTTTTTTGGTTTTTCGAGACAGGGTTTCTCTGTGTAGCTTTGCTCCTTTCCTGGAACTCACTTGGTAGCCCAGGCTGGCCTCGAACTCACAGAGATCCGCCTGCCTCTGCCTCCCGAGTGCTGGGATTAAAGGCGTACGCCACCACCGCCCGGCTTCAAATTCCTAACCTTTTGTTTTGTTTTTTGAGACAGGATTTCTCTGTGTAGCCCTGCCTGTCCTATAACACTCTGTAGGCCAGGCTGGCCTCGAACTCCTGCCTGCCTCTGCCTTCTGAGTGCTGGGACTAAAGGTGTGCAGCACTATCACCCAGTGCAAATTCTTTTTAAGATTTATTATGTATACAATGTTCTGCATGCATGCATCCCTGCAGGCCAGAAGAGGGCGCCAGATCTCATTACAGAAGGTTGGGAGCCACCATGTGGTTGCTGGGAATTGAACTCGGAACCTATGGAAAAGCAGCCAGTGAGTGCTCTTAACCTCTGAGCCATCTCTGCAGCCTCACTCCTTGCAAATTCTTAACCTTTTTTTGTTTTTTTCTAGACAGGGTTTCTCTTTGTAGCTTTGGAGCCTGTCCTAGAACTAGCTCTGTAGACCAGGCTGGCCTGGAACTCACAGAGATCTGCCTGCCTCTAACATTTTTTATTACATTAATCTTTCAAAGGTGTAAATTTTATAAATTGAAATAGAAAAATTACCTGGCATAAATAATGTGACTCTACAGTTTAAGGATTGTTAGTTATAACTTCATAAAACTTTATACTATAAAAACTTCCATATTAGTTTTCTGGTGGGTTACAGGTTCTGTTTCACTGTCTAAGGAACAAACCTGCCTGCTTAATAACAGTCTCACTAAAATGTGCTTCCTCAACCAGGAGCTGAAGTGGCTTTAGTTGGTGGCTTGAAACTTCTGGCTAGACTGTCGCTTCTTACAGAACAAGACCTGTGGACTGTGAATGGACTTCCCAATGAACACAACTCTTCAGACCACCTGCCTCTACTGGCTAAGTTCAGGCTCGAACTCTGACTCCATTGCTCAGTCACACAATTTCCTGTCTTCTGAGAGGCTGTAAAGATAGTCGTAACTGTTTGCATGCTGTTCATTTCTGTGCTTGGGGTTCTGAGTTTGCTCTATGCTTGAAACAGGTTGGGAGAAACAAGTTTACAACAGTTTTTTTAAATGAAATTATTTTCCTGACAACTGATGTCTAACCACTTTACTGTAAAAAGATATAAATAACTTCTGAGTCCTGGTAAAGTGAACAGCATTTTGAAGTGTAGTTCATCTCCTTGGCTCTCCAGACATGAATTCAGTGCTTTTCAGTCCATCCAGTGGACCTACCAGGACTTGCAAAGCTCAGGTTGTTGCCTTTTCTGGAGGCCTAATTTCAGTGGGAGAAGCCTGTGCTTGTTGAGAGCTAATCAGTTCTTAGAAATCACGGGGCCATTCATTCACAGGAGTACAAACAACCATGTCAGCTTCTGAGAGGCTTGATGACGCTCTTGAGTTGTACTAATACACAGACCCACTTCACCGCCATCCGGAGCTGGGGACATGCCTGTACTTTGTTGAGGAAATAGTTGAGAAATGCAGGTCACTTTCATAAGAGGGCAAAGCTCTTAGCCAGATAATGGTGGTACATATTTGTAACCTTAGCGTTTGGGAGGTGAAGGCAGAATTAACCAGTTAAAGCCAGCTTTAGCAACATAGCAAGTTTGAGGCCAGCCTGAGCTACATGAAACCCTATCTGTAAAACACAACAAAACCTGGGCGCTGGTGGTCCACGCTTTTAATCCCAGCACTTGGCAGGCAAATCTCTGAGTTCAAGGCCAGCCTGGTCTACAGAGTGAGTTCCAGGACAGCCAGGACTATTACACAGAGAAACCCTGTCTCAAAAACTGAAAAGAGGTCAAAGTCCTTTATGTAAGCCCACCCCTGTTCTGTAGAGGGGTTGCCCCCAGGAAAGCAGATGAGCCAGGTGCAGCCATGCACATCCTTCATGCCAGCATCTAGGAGACAGGCAGGAGAATCACTGCATGTTCCAGGCTAGTCAGGGCTACACAGCAAGACCCTGTCTCAAAGACAGACAAAGCAGTGGCAGGCCCTGGCTTGTACCTCTGTCCCCCTGTTCTTCCTTTCTGTTTAGTGACAGTAGAAGGCCCTTGGGTCAGGAGTGACATTTTGTTGAACCAATTTTGTATAAATTTAAAAAAAACAGTCTTTGGAAGGAAGTGGCAGCCCTACAGCTGTTTGTCATTCACCTCCAACGTGCAAAGCCAGAGCATAGGAGGAGGCACAGCTTAGACTTGGACTGTTGGCTGCAGGGTTGTGCTTTCTGGTACAGTGGTGCAGCAGTGTGGCATGCGCTCACACGGTCCGTGATGCTCACCGCAGGTCTGCTAAGCCCTGTACACATGTCGAGTGAAAGACTTACATAGAGGTAGAAATTCCCTCGGCTTTCTAAGGTGGTAGAGTCAGACTGCTGCTGCATTTTTCCTAAGTCCTTACTGCGCAGTAAGTTACAGATGTTTTCTACAGTGAGTTTTATTATAGAATGCTTTAAATTAAGACAATAAGTCTTGGCAATTTACATTTTTAACTCATTACATTGTTATTTTAGGTGTACTAGATGATTGCCTCAGAGGTGTACAGATTGTGAAGACATGGCCAGTGAGATCTGTAGTAAACAAAGGGTCTTAACTTTGGTTTTCATGGACAGTATTAACCATGGTACCAAGATGCCCACAGTTTTCAGGGCTTTGTGGAGTGCTAAGGATCCTGGTTAGTCTTTATCAAATTAGTGGTAATTGTTCCTTTTTAATATTGGAGGGGGGTGAGTGGTATTGGTATAAACATCACTGTTGGCAAACTAACATTCCTGAAAACCTCTGTAAAAAGTTTTTATATCCTAATGAATATATTACGAGTTTAGCCCCATTTCATACACTTCTCTTTGATAGTTAACCCATAAATTGCTGTTCAATGTTAACCTGTGGCCACAGACACTTTTCACAAGCTTTTAGAGCTCCAATAAAAATTATCTATTTTCTTTACTGTTCTTGACAGAAGATCTGGCAGCTCCTCTGGGCCTTGTGTTTATCTGCCAAGCACAATCTGATCTGGCTGACTGCAGAAGTCAGATCTCACAGTTTATAAAGTGTGTAGTGTGTGTGTGTGTGTGTGTGTGTGTGTTTGTGTTTGTGTGTGTGTGTGTGTTAGACATGTGTGTCTAGAGGCCAGAGGTGAGCCTTGGGTATTGTTCCTCAGGAGCCATCCACCTTTTATTTTTAAGATAGTCTCTCACTGGCCTGCAACATGCCAAAGTAGGGTAAACTGGCCAGCCAGCAAGGCTGAGACCCTCCTGTCTCTGCCTCCCTCATGTGGGATTACATGTGGATCCCTGGCTTCCTTGTGGGTCCTGAGACTCACACTCAGGTCCTCCTCTAACTGAGCCGTCTTCCCAGCCTCCTGCTGGCCAAGTCTTATATGCAAAGGGAAACTGTAAAGTGATGATAGTCTAGTTTTAGTGCACCTTTTGCCATCAAGACAGTAAGCATGCTCAAAATCTTGTCTTTCAGGATTTAGCATCTGCTAGCTTTTAAGCTTTTGTTTTTTTAAAAAAAATGAGTTCTTTTACTTTGTCCCTGTAAGCTGTAATAAAGTATTATATTTGCACATCTATGTTGGGTTTTGTGTAAACGTGCTGAGCAGCTGGTGCTGGCCTGCCACCCTCAACTATCCATCACCTTCTCAGCCTTTATCAGTTAGAATGACTGAAATACACCCAAACAGTATAGTCAATAAAGCCTAAAAGAGGAAAGTGAGAAAATGGTAAATTAATTCAATAGGACAAAACAGCAACAAAACATCTCAAAGTCCTTCAGTTTCCAGAATGGTTTTTATTACAGTTCCATGCTGTGTCCAACATATGGTGAGAGAAATGCAAGCCTGAATGAAACATGCACTCCTGGTGATCTTAGAATACGATCAAATCTTCGTGGACTTAGAAAAATACTCACTAAAACAATCACGGTTCTTCTGAAATATTTTTTAAAAATGTATTGGCCAGAACAAAGAATAAACAAGAGTCTGAATTGTATGTCAAAAACTGTACAAGGTCGTACATACAAGTCTAGCATACGAAAGGAAACCTTGTGTAGTCAGCTGAAGGGCTGCAGAGCCTTTGCTCACGTCTGCTGAGGCTGCCCTGTGAAACAGCTGACTCAGAAACAGGGATACACTCATGATTCCAGGGTACAGAAAACACCTGGGATCCCCTTTCAGAGTCAACAGTCAGCTTGAGGCTTGTCCTCCAGCTCTGCACATCTGGCCCCTGTGCAGAGGATAAACTTGCTCCAGTCACCTCACACTTCTCTTTATCTTCTTAAATCACAGCTAGGCTGAGGAGAGGCAAAACACACTGGGTTTGTTTTTGCCATATTATTATTTAATTAAACTGTTGCATTAGAATTTAGGCGTTTGTGACTTCCTTCCATTTTAGAAGTTAGTTAACTACAGACAGTAAAACTGAATGACAGCGTTTTAAATGTTCCTGTGACTAACCTTGATTTGGAAAATGAATCTAAAAATCAGAAAGTGGTTGTAGGAGATTAGGTGACCAAGTGTCACACTCAGGGACAGCTGGGTGCTGTTCTTTGCCTTGCCATGGGTCAAGGTTATCCCACTGGCTGTTTGACATTCTTTTCGTGTGAGCTGTCCTTGAACAAGGCAGCTGCAAGCACTAGGCCAGGTCGTCAAATTCTGATCAGTCCACGTACCGGATGGAGCAGTTTCAGGGGAGAAACAGCTGAGCAAGAGTGGAAGTACAACAGCAGGTGAGGGGGGTGTGTGTCGGCGTGTGAGGGCACATGGAAGAAAGCTGCTTCCTTGGGTCCTGAGGTCAGAGCAGAGCCTGTGAGCACTCACCCAGGCCCAGTAACTCATCTTGAACTCTGATAACAGGATTCCTGAAGAAAGCAGTTTACGTTCAGAATTTGAAGCTTATACTGTGTTTTAATTTCCTGGTCCTGTTCTCTAAAGGACACTAAACTTTTCCAAGAAAACAACACTTTTCATTAATAATGCTGGCTTTAGGGTGGGATGAATTTTTGTGGCCACGGCTTTTGCCTCTCTTGTGGCCCTAGGTTTTCCTGGTGAAGACTCAGTGAGTGGTCTCATAACGGTGTCTCAGAGGGACACATGCTGAGAGCTCTGTGGATCAGCTGGTCCTCTGGCATAGGGGCAGCACTAAGATAAATGACTTAAAGCTGTACTCCAGATTTATAGCAGTCTTGCATGCCTTCAGCTCCAACTTCGTGGTCTGCAAGCAGAAGTTGCACTGCAGTGGGCACAGCCCTGTGCTGGACCTGTTCCTTTGAGACAGGCCTGCTTCTTGAGTTCATGGTTTTCCCCAGCACTTCCTAATGTCACGAAGTGGTGCCTAAAAACAGGCTAGTGGGAAATAATCCATCATCACATTTGCCTTAATGTAAGACAGCAGAACACATTAACAACAAACCCCTCAGAACCAAGGCTGACCAAGTGTGAATGAAAGATTAGCCGCCAGTGTCTGCCTTTTTGAGCACCTTTCTGCCTGAGGACATTTTCGTGAGTGCATGGCCTCTTGTGCTTTTTGCTGGATTCAGAAAAGCTTAAATGTTAGCAACAGAACATGGACTAGAGCTCTTGGCATACTTGTTTGAAAGAGGAAAACCTGCCGTCAGTAGATGCTTTAGGAAAAGTGACTCCAAGATCCTAAAGTGTTGTCCCTTATTGCCAGAATTTCAGTGCTTTTTGCTAAAGCATTTGCATATGACACCTTAAATCACATCTCATGTGTGCACCAGAAAAAAAAACCAACAAACCCTCCAAACCATCAAGACCCCTATAAGAAACACTAAGAAAACAATACAAATAGAATATAAAAACTCATTAAGATTGCATCTCTGATGCCAAGATGTTGAGGTAATATCAACTGCTTAAAAAACCCACCAGCTTTGCTTGTTATTGCTGAGAAGACGGTAACACTGACTGAGTTACAAAGAGTGGAGAGAACTCCAGACGTTTACTACAGCCGAGGCATAATGTCCAAAGCAAGTGGAAGAGTCGCACATGGAAAAATAGAAAACTGCAGTGTTGTCCTTGAGGTCCTGAGTGAGGGAGACAGTCAACCCAGGGGCCTGTCCGTCACATCAGCCCAGTCATGCCCGCTGCCAGAGAGTTTCAAAGCTCACCATTTCCACCCACTCAGATTCTGTTTCCAGGTAAGTCCTTCAAAATCAAAACTCCACAAGTTCTTCGTGAATACTTGCAGGTCCTCCTGAAGCTGCTGGGTAATGTGCAGAAAAGAGCACCATAGAAACCTCGCCAGCCTGGCTTGGCTAGATCCGGATTTGATAGCCCACTTCATTCAGAGTGCTGAGGTCAGCCACCTTCTTCTCGGGGAGAGCAGGCCTAAGGGGAAGGCAGAAGGATGGTGGGGAGGAACTGACATACAGAAATGAAGCTTTTCAAGGGCCTGATACTCTCGCCTGTCCCCACACCCACATTCCTTCAGCCTTGGCTCCTAATTCTTGTTCTTGATCTATTTGAGAGCTTTTAAGGAGTTCTGAAGGCTTTCAGTGAAGAAAATTAAACATCACAGCAAAATTAACCAGGCTCTACTGTGTGTGTGTGTGTTCTGAAGCAGGACTTTTCAGTGTAGCTTTGGAGCATATCCTGGAACTTCCTCTTTAGACCAGGCTGGCCTCAAACTCATAGACATCCGCCTGCTTCTGCCTCCAGAGTCCTAGGACTGAAGGCATGCACCACCACCACCACCACTCCGCCAGGCTCTACTTTTTTGAGACAGGATTTCACTGTTTCCCAGGATAACCTTGCACTTTCCATCTTGCTGGAGTCTCCCGTGTTCTGGGATTATAGTTGCATAGCACCATGCTCAGAGCTACAACTTTTAAAACCCCATACCTTGCAGGTCCTAACAAAGTCACATACACTACAGGACTAAGCCAAGTTCTTTTGGCAACAGTGAGCCCAGGGATCACAAGGGGACTTTGGTTCTGGTGGGCATTCTCAGTTACCCTTGCAAGATGCTTTATACTCTAGGATTGAATGTGTAAGATCAAAGTGTATTGCCACTATGGTGGCGCACGCCTTTAATCCCAGCACTTGGGAGGCAGAGGCAGATGGATCTCTGTGAGTTCAAGGCCAGCCTGGGCCGCAGAGTGAGTTCTAGGAAAGCTACACAGAGAAACCCTGTCTCAAAAAACACACAAACGAGATACATATACATATACATACATACATACATACATATATATAATATATTTATAGTGTATCTTTCAGAATTCCCCTGAAACCACACACCATGGCAGAAAATGACTCAGTGGCAAAGCATCTTTGCTAAGCAACTGGTAAAGCACTTGGCAGTAAAACTCCTCAACACTAGCATTGGGTGTAAGGGACTCATTTAAGGTGCTGGCGGCTTTCCAGGATGATACTCTGACAGCTTCCATCTTCTGATGAGCCCCTTGTATGTTTGGGTTGATGTGACCAAGTGGGACTTGGGATGCTGGTGAGTTCTATGTCGGGATTTTTCTGTTTTCCTAAGAGCATCAAAGAGGTGACAGCGATGACAGACAAACCTTGACCTTAAGTGCTAAAAAGTGAAAATTCAAGTACAAGAAAGTCCCTAAACCTTTGAAAAATTCCCTTTCGGCAAATTGTTTCCTCTTGACAGGAAAGTAGTGTGACTTGACCACCCTAAAACACTCCCTCTGTCAGGCAAACTGCTACGGAACATGCCTCAACTCCCTTTCACTTCTTATTTGAGATGAAGTTTCCATGAGTTACCAGGCAGCCCTTGAAGTTGGAATCCTCCTGCCTCAGCCTCTCAAGTAGCCACTAAGAGATTCTGACATCTTGACCTATGATCATTCTCTCTGAAACAGCTTCATGGTGGTCAAGAAACCTCCCGACTTCCTACTTGACCCCACTAAAGAACTTGTATCTTAGTCACCTGTGTCCCAAGAGTCCACACCACATTTGTGTCTCTTCTCATGGTTCCTGGGACATTCACAATGATAAAGACAGTAGAAATGGAAATGCCTGTGTGCAAACTTCACTCGACTGCTCATGAGCTCAAGGCCTTCCGGGTGATGGCTTCTTTTGGTCCAGTCATGCCCTAGGGATCAGCTAACTTTAAACAGAACCACTGCCTACAAGCCTCGAAAAGCAGCTTCAGGGACCCACCTGAGGACCCTTCATGGGCTCACAACTAAAAAGGAACAATGCTACTCAAGAAAGAGAAAGGAAAGAAACAAGGCAGAAAAAAAGAGAAAGGCTGGGTGGTGGTGGTGCACGCCTTTAATCCCAGCACTCGGGAGGCAGAGCCAGGCGGATCTCTGTGAGTTCGAGGCCAGCCTGGTCTACAGAGCGAGATCCAGGACAGGCACCAAAACTGTCCTGTCTCGAAAAACAAAAAAACAAAAAAAAAGAAAAGGGAAGGCCAGGTAAAGAGTCACCTGGGGAGAGAAATAGGTTTGCTCTAGTCCTTGGGGAAACCAACCTCAGTGAAGAAGTGATCTTTCCTTTTTTTCTCCCTGTAGATGTTTATATGTGCATGTGGAGTTATGTGTCCAAGTGGAGGCCAGCCAGCCACTGTATGTGGAGGCCACTGTATGTGGAGGCCATTGTATGTGGAGGCCACTGTATGTGGAGGCCAGCCACTGTATGTGGAGGCCACTGTATGTGGAGGCCACTGTATGTGGCAGCCAGCCGCTGACCTGGTGTGTTCTTCAATTGCTTCTCCACCTAATCTATTTTTATTTTTACTTAGGTCTTAGGGATCTGAACTCAAGATCACGCTTTTTCAGCAAACACTCAACTGAACTATATCTCCAGCCCGCTTTCTTTTCTAGTGATTGTCTCAATATACAGTTCTAGGCTGGTCTTGAACTTGAGGATACAAGTGATCTTCCTGGCTCCCACCTCAAGTTCCTGGAACAACTGATCCATCAGGCTCCCCTGACTTCTCTAACTTGCTCTTCTAGAGCTGACCCCACTCACAAGTCACCGTGGACACCCCTCAGAAAGTGCTTGAGGGACTGAGCCCCAGAGTTGGGAAGGGATTGGTTTAAGTTGACAGGGGCTTTGAAACACAGATCCCAATTCCTATTCCCAGTTCTCTTTAAGAATCTTTGGGGGTGGAGTTGAGCGGGAAAGAAACTTGACTGTCCTGTGTAGAAGGTGCTTCAACATTTGGAGGGGAAATAGCAGCAAGATGGCTCAGTAGGGAAAGGCCCTTGTCACCAAGCATGATGACCTAAATTCTATCCACAGGACCCACATGATGGAGGAACCCAAAACGTCCTCGGCCCTTCACATGAACGTATGTTCTGACAAATAAATGTAAGAAGAAGAAGACCAAAACACTCGGGAGAGCAAAGGAGAACCCGCTGGGGGAAGGGAGTGCTGTCTCCCTTTAGAAACTTCATCTTAACTGAGGCTGGGGAAGTCACTCCTCCCTCCCACTCATGGGACTCCTGTGTCAGCCCGGGGACACAGACACTCCTACAGGGATTATTTAGGCAAGCACAAAGACAGAGGAACGTGGAGCTGAAGTGGCTCCAGCTGTGACAGGAGGGTGGCATAAGCCACCAGAACTATCTATGGGGCCCCAGCTGACGGGCCTCGTGCCCACTGTGGTTATTTTCCACTTTGAGCACTCCGTGTATTTAGAAATGACTCGCCGGCCTTAGGCAGAGCTGAAATAATAGCACAGCAACGGTATCCAAGAGCCCTTCCTGATGCCGACTGGCTCAGTGAGAGTCTGTGAAGTCACAGCAGTGTGGTCAAACTTGTCCCTTTAAAAAGCAAGAAGAGCTGGCTGGACTAAGCCTGCTGTGAGAAAGCTTGGGCAGGAGAGAAGATCCTCTTGTGGACATGTCTGGAAGCCAGGGGTACTGGTCTAGCCTGTGGCTCTGGCAGATGCATGAGTCAGCAGAGGGAGGGTGGGCTTGGAGTTTCCATATCTCTGATGGTCCCCTCCTCTCCAGTCTTTCTTTTGCTTCTGGCCTCCCCCACCCCTCTCCTGCATGGCAGCACCAGCCCTTCCCCAATCCTGCCCCCCAGAAGTCAAGGTTTAAGAGGAACTGGAGAAAGGCTGTCCCTCCTCACTCTGTCCACTTTAAATGGAAGCCTCCATAGCTGCCCTTTCGAGGCTCCTCCCAACCTCCAAATGCAGATAAAGAGCAAAGCGGGCAGGACCTCTGATGCTGAGAAGAGCTATGACCTTATGAGACCCGTGTCTGTGGAGCTCTGTGTCTGTGGAGCTCTGTCCGCAGGCACCCACAGGCAGCAGGGCTCTTAATGATCATGCTCTCCCGAGGCCACCTGGCCTCCCAGTCCTACCCCACTGGGAAGAGTTGATGAAGGGCTTCCGGGAACCTACTCAGCCTGGGAGCTGGGTACAGCCACCCCACGGTTTTTTGTTGTTGTTGTTGTTGTTTGTTTGTTTGTTTTTGTTTTTGAGAAGTTTACAATATACTGGCCTGTGACTGCCCCCCGGGGGCTGAGACAGACCTTGGGGAGCAGTGGTAGGACAATAAGGAAAACACCCGGGGATTCATTCCCTCCTGGTCTTTCCATTCTCAGGCCACTCGAGTGTGTCAGGAGGGGTAAGGACAAGTAGGGCCCTGGCACCCAGAAGCTTCACACTCACAACCGTAATTGTCTAACAGCTGTCTTCCTTGGGTGCAGGTGAAGGCGCCAGCGTGGACGATTGCCTTGGCTGCATGACAAAGTAGTAGAGATTAGGGTCTGGGGCAAGGAAAGTCAGGGTGAATCAGTGGGCACCCCCAGACTGAATTAAGTGAGGCCTGAGCATGAAGCCAGCCAAGGTAGGCCCACCATGACTGAGCAGGTCCAGGGTGTATGCCAGTGACCCACCAGGCCTGGGCAAGTCTGGGGTGTATGCCCATGACCCACCAGGACTGGGCAGGTCCGGGGTGTATGCCCCGTGACCCACCAGGCCTGGGCAGGTCCGGGGTGTATGCCCATGACCCACCAGGACTGGGCAGGTCCGGGGTGTATGCCCCGTGACCCACCAGGCCTGGGCAGGTCCGGGGTGTGTGCCTGTGACCCACCAGGCCTGGGCAGGTCCGGGGTGTGTGCCAGTGACCCACCAGGCCTGGGCAGGTCCGGGGTGTATGCCAGTGACTTCACTTCAACACTTTTATCTTGGCGTGTTGGTTGTTAACGTCAGCCCTTTGCCTTGGTTCCTCAAGCACACAAGGAGGTGGGTCTGCTGCTGGACGGCTCTGGGAAGTTCCCCCAACCCCACCCCCAGCAAGAGAACTGAGCACTTGTCAGAAATAAAAACTCAGATGCCTGTCCCAAAGCTGCTGCTTCAGAAGCTCCAGGGGAGGGTGGCTCCCCATTCTGGTTTGGAACAAGGTCCTTCTGAGAACCAGGACCTGCCTGTAGTGAGGTCCTCAGCCTGCACCCTGTCCAGTCTGTGCCCATAGCTTTTCCCCTTCCTCTCCCCAGACAGCATCAGCCTCTGCTTGCTCAGCCAAGTCCTCCCTACCTCTAAGCCCTCACTGTCACATCCCATCGCTCTGACCCTGGCTCCCCCAAAACCCTGCTTCCTGAATTCATCATTTTATTTTTGAACCTTCACCTCTTCCTCCTGGTTATTTCCACCTTGTCTCCAAAGTTAGTGTGGTTCTCTTCAATTCTGCAAGGAAAAAACCCAGAAGGTATACTATATTCTACTATAAACTACTTCTAAGAATCCATGCTAACTCCCCTTTCCTCTCACAGGTAAGGAAACCAGTTCCCAAACCACATGCTGGGTCACTGGGCTAGGAATCTGGTCCCTGGATCTCACTCAGGGCTCATCCTGTATGCTCTCCCCTTCCATGACCCTCCCTTTTACAGGCTCAGCCCCATCACCCTGCACTCCAAAGGTCCCCTGAATCCACAGTGTCTTCCAGCTCCTACTCCCCGCCCCCCAACTTCTTCAGGATCCGCTCCTCCCCCGAACCTCACTATCCACACCATCTTTGAGTTTACCCTTTTGCCACTGGGCCATGAGTCCTCGCCTTGGTTCTCCTGGCGCTCCCAACACTGGAATTGAATTGAGACGTGGGATATGAAGGGGGGAGGGTGACAAAGGAGAACCCCTCTTCCTGGAGACCCCTTCCCGACTTGGGGGACCCCTACCTGTTCCTTTTCTTTATCCTCACCCCCAGGCCCGTTTTGATGAACCACGTGGACAGGGGGAGAAGGGTCAGTGGGTTCCCCAGAGTAGGGCAGGGAGGGTGGCTGTCTAACCCTGTCACCGGCAGACCGTGCCCCTTAGCCACCCCTTCCTCATTTCCTGTCCAGCTCTTCTTCCTCTGGCCTCCCCAGAGCTACTCATTCCTTTTTCTCTTTTTTCTCCCCTTACCTATGAGCCACTGTTTGAACTGTCTTCTCTGTAGCTGCCTCCAATTCTGTTTTTATTTTTTTCAAGACTGGTTTTCAGAGGTTTGTGTAGCCCTGGCTATCCCGGAACTGGCTCTGTAGGCCAGGCTGACTTCAGAGATCCCCCTCTGCCTCTGTCTCCCAAGTGTTGGGATTAAAGGCCTGTCAGCGCCACTGCCTGGCTAGATGCTTCCAATTTTAAATCTGTCCTCAAACCCTATTATTATCAGTATTTTCTAGAACATTCACTCTAGAAGCCTGAGAAGCCCTTCAGAGCCCACAATCTCTACTAACACTTGCCTCTGTCCCCTACCCTCAGACTTTGACCTTATCCTGATTGCCACCCTGCCCTGTCCCCTGGCAGCTACTCTATTAATCTATTTTACTGATCAGGAGCGTTCCACACCCCTACTACACTGAGTTCCTGTGGGTCCAGGTGCAAAGATCCAACCAGAAACATTGACCCAGAAATGCTGAAATGCCAATGGCGGCCCTTCTGTGCAGACACCCATTGCCCCAACAGGAGGCGCTTTTCCTGTGTACTGGTCCAGGCTCTGGAGGGAAGAGCACCCCACTATGGGCAGCTCAACCCCTGCTGCGCACAGGAGCTTCGAAGGAACTAATGACTGTTTTCTTCATGGGCAGAGAGGACAGTAGACCAGATGACAGGGCTTTCCCTCCTGCTGCTGGGCCCGCGTCACTGACCCCTCAGGAAGGGTTTCTCTGAGAGTGCAGTGCAGCAGGAATGGATGACTGAGCCAGAGACAAAGACCTTGGCTTCAGCGAGGATGATTATCGGGGTCAGAGGATGGCAGGGTGAGGGTGAAGTCAACGTGAGGATGATGTCAAGGTCAGAGGTTGGCATTGAGGGTAAGACTAGGGTCATCAGAGGCCACAGCTGAAAAGTCAGAAGCCATTTGGTTCTCTGAGAGAATGGGCCTATGCTGGAGCGTTCTGATGTCAGCCTCTCTGGCTTTAGAAGCACTGGACTCTCTCTTCCCAGGCCTGTCATTTTAGCAAGGCTCTGCTAGCTGTCCATGCAAAATCTGGGGCTCATAGTGGGACACAGAGAGAAGAAGAAGAAGAAGAAGAAGAAGAAGAAGAAGAAGAAGAAGAAGAAGAAGAAGAAGAAGAAGAAGAAGAAGAAGAAGAAGAAGAAGAAGA